GCAGGAAAAGAGAGAGGAAGCAACAAAGAGGCAAGTATGGAAGGGTCTTGAAAGGTCCAGATTAGGGGGATATAGACATGGGAATATGGAGTTTCGAAGATCCCTGCGGGGGTGAAGCCCCATGCAGACAGTCTCACCTCCTCTGTCAGCAGGAGCTTCTGGGGCATGGGCACCTGCAGCAGGCTGTCTGGGCCGCTGGGCAAGGATGCCGAGGCAGAGGGTCTTTGAGGGCAGGGCTTAGACCCTTGGGGAGGGTACAGGAAGGACCTTTGGAGACCACAGTAGGTACCCAGTCCCGCAGCCCCCTTGCCCCTGTCACTCTGTCTAGTCGTTTCTCCCTCATCATGGAATTGGTCCAGGAGGTAATCTGTCAGGAGGGAGAAAGAGAAAGGAAAGAAAGAACATGAGAGAGAGGAGCATCTGAGGGTCCGCCCTCCCCAGGGTACCAGCCTTGATCCCTGGGCCCGGCCCCTTCACTCCCCACCATGGTGCCACAGCTGCAGCCGCCCGCTGCTCCCATCCACACGAATCCGGTGCAGGCCCTGGGTATCACTCTCCACCAGCCGTCGAAGAAAATCCACTATGTCCTGGGAGAGGAGGGGAGGGTAGGCTGGTGTTGGGGGGAGCTCTGGGAGAGAGCAAGGGGCTTGGCTAGGTTAACCCCTCCACCATGGAAATCACAAAGCAGCCACCCAGCCTGGAGAACCTAACTGGCCAACCTCTCCCAGCTCAGCACCTCAAAACACACTGCTCTCAGCTTTCTTGGTGTATCACCTCACTTCACTATTGTCCTGCCTTCCCCAGGGCAGATGTGGCTTTCAGCTTGGCCTTCTCAACCATCCAGTATCTCCTCCCCTGATTTGCCACTAGGTCAGCCACTAAAACGAAGTCCTAAAACGGAGTCCTCTTACCGGCTCATCCAGTTATGCTCCCTGTCATATCTCGGAATATGAACAGCCCCATACAACCCGCCTGGAGCTACCTCACGCTTAACCGAGTGCAGCAATTCCTGGCTGGCCTCTCCCCTGCACTTCATGTCCTCCCACAGCCAAGCTCTCAACAATTACTCCCCTACTGAGACCCTTCCAGTAATCCCCCACTGCCAAGGCCACACGCTGGCATCTAGCTCCTCAGCCTGGGATCTGGAACCTTCCGAAAAGCTACTTGTCTGACCTTTCCAACCCTCCCTCTGCCACCAGGCTCTTTCCAGCCTTACGGTTTCCCTCCAGTGGTCCTCAAATCCCCCCTGGCTCTGACCTGCTTTCTTACCACATCTTGTCTCAACTTCAAGGTCCAGTTCAAATTCTATCTCTCCTCAACCACATTCCAGATCCTTTCATCTCCAATGATCTCTACCCTCTTTCAACCAAGCTGCGCTCACATAGACTGTGTTATACAATATACAGCCTTACTATTCACTGCTTTTTAAAAATATATATATTTTCATTGATTTCAGAAAGGAAGGGAGAGGGAGAGAGAGAAACATCAATGATGAGAGAGAATCATTGATTCCTCCTGCACACCTCCTACTGGGGATGGTGCCCGCAACCCAGGTACATGCCCTTGACTGGAATCGGACCTGAGACCCTTTAGTCCGCAGGCCGACACTATCCACTGAACCAAACCAGCTAGGGCTATTCACTGCTTTTTATTGGTCTCTTGTTGGTGAGGCACTACTACGGAGCAGGGAAGGGCAGTGTCGGAGCAGAGCTGCTTGCGTCCTGGTCCTGGCTCAGCCACTGTCTGGCTGTTTGATTTGGGACAAGTTGTTTAATCTTTCTGGACCTCAACCTCCTCATTCACAAAACGAGGCAAGATTCTTCAAGGCCTGGCCTGTACGTTCTGTGGTTCTGATGAGAATCGTTTTCTCAGTTAGTGTAAACTAAGAAGGACAGGCCCTAGCTGGTTTGGCTCAGTGGATAGAGCATCAGCTTGTGGACTGAAAGGTCTCGGGCTTGATTCCAGTCAAGGGCACATGCTTGGGTTTCAGGTTTGATCCCCAGTGGGGGGTGTGCAAGAGGCAGCCATTCGGAAATTCTCTCTCATCATTAATGTTTCCCTCTCTCTCTCCTTCTCCCTTCCTCTCTGAAATCAATAAAATATGTTTTTTAAAAAATTACACTAAGAAGTACAGGAACCATCACATCCCTATGTGGCTAATAAGGCCTAAACAGAGCAGACCCTGACTAGGTGGTGGCCCGTTGACTGAGAAAGTTAGAAGCCACATGAAACGCCAGAGTGCTAAAATAATGTCGCCGAAACTGGTCTGGCTCAGTGGATAGAGCGTTGGCCTGCGGACTGAAGACAAAGTTAGAAGCCACATGAAACTCCAGAGTGCTAAAATAATGTCGCCGAAACTGGTTTGGCTCCGTGGATAGAGCGTTGGCCTGCGGACTGAAGGGTCCCGGGTTCGATTCCGGTCAAGGGCATGTACCTGGGTTGCAGGCACATCCCCAGTGGGGGATGTGCGGGAGGCAGCTGATCGATGTTTCTCTCTCATCGATGTTTCTAACTATCTCTCTCCCTTCCTCTCTGTAAAAAATCAATAAAATATATTTAAAAAAATAAAATAAAATAAATAAAATAATGTGTAGGCAGGCCTTCCGATCACTGAGCTATCGGCAACCTCTGAACAATGTTAGACGCAGGGCTCCCCTCAGGAGACAGTCTGGACTCAACAGCACTTTCACGTATGTTGCTGGGCACTTTCCTCAAGCTTTATTCTCAAGTTTGAATTGCTGGTGGGTTTATTTCAACTTACAAAACTGGAACTTAAGACATAAATAATGCATGCTCTGGGCCCGTTTGAAGCAGCCTCCCCAGGATGTACCTGCCATTCAAATACTAGTATATATCACTCCCTATATCTTCAACCTCCCGCTTCCTCCTCAGCCCAGTCCAGCCATCTTAAGACAAACAAACAAACAAACAAAAAAGACTTCTTTGACCTTCCACCTCTCCTCCAAATACATTGTATGCTGTTGTCTTAATTCACAACCTGGCCACATATGACATGCCCCTCCTCCTCCCATACCTTCAAGAATCACCTCCTACCATCTTATCACCCTCCTCCAGCTACAGTGACCTCCTCTTAAGTTCCTACAACACCAAGTGCACTGAGAAGCTTCACTTTTAACATCTCAGGGCTTTTTTACTTATTTCCTTTGCCTGGAATGCTCTTTCCCCAGTGAATGGCACAATCTTCTCCCCCCTTCAACTCTCTGCTTAAACCTTTGTACAGAAACCTTCTCTGACCATTCCTTTTAAAACAACAAGTCTCTGAACTCCACTCACTGGCCACTAGCCTCCTCCTTGCTTTATTTTTCTTTGCATTTCTTGTATTTGACATACTATATTGTTTATTCATTGGTTGCTTCCACTAGATACTTCAAATCCATTTAATAAAGGGGCTTTTATCTGTTTGATAGACTTGTCTTCCCAGCATGAAACAGTGCCTGTGTTGGGGGCACAGCTGGTGCTCAGTGAGTGTGCGCTGAGTGGGTAACGGCAGACAGAGTGGGGAGGAGACTATTCTAACAGAGATGCTGCCAGGAGTTGTATCTGAAGAACTCCGTGTGACCCAGTGAGCTGGAACTTTGTCCCGTCAGTGATGGGAGTGGACCTGATATGGGAAGTGAAACATCCAGATAAAATACTCCTGGTGGAATGTTTGGTGACAAGGCCATTACCACTGTCCAAGCCTGAGAGAATGAGTTCTTTTTTTAAAAAAAATGTATTTTTATTGATTTCAGAGAAGAAGGGAGAGGGAGAGAGATAGAAACATCAATGATGAGAGAGAATCATTGATTGGCTGCCTCCTGCACGCCCCACACTGGTGATCAAGCCCACAACTTGGGCATGTGCCCTTGACGGGAATGGAACCTGGGACCCCTCAGTCCACAGGCTGACGCTCTATCCACTGAGCAAACCAGCTGGGGCGAGAACGAGTTCTTGAACTGAGGCAGTGGCAGCAGGAGCAGGAACGGAAACGATGGGTTCCATTCGAAGGACACTTTAGAAGGAATGACTACCTGCATGTGCGGCGTACAGGAAAGGGAGGACTACATAGAGTGACTTCCAGATTTCTGGATGGAGTCTGCGTTATCAACCAAAACTATGATTAGAGGGAAAGCAATCCATTTGCAAAGATGATGAACCTCTGGACTGGTGAGTTTGCGGTGTTTAGAGGTAACCATGAAGCCGCTGGAAGGACAGCTTCTCAGTGTTCCCAAATCTGGTCCTGTCCCTCCCTCGATAATCACATCACCTACCTGAGAACGCCCCAACCCTGGGCTGGGCAAGGCCTGTCAGTGCCTTCGCTCCCTCCTCACCTCCTACAGTTTAAAACAAGCCCTCCGCTCAGGCTTCACGGCGATGAAGTTCTTTTAACTTTTCCTTGCTTTGGTGTCTTTGCTCCCACTGCCTCCTCTTATAACACCGTCCAAGGAGCTCCTACTCCCGCCCCCGCCCCCAACCCACAGACTCCTCTGCCGCACCCCGCGCACCCTCGCCCCG